ATAAATATGTATCTTGGCATCAGCCACAAAACTAACACCTGTTTGTTTTACCAAAACCCTCCCAAAGACACACCTGGGGCTTTCAGTGCAAACTCCCTGGAGATCCCCCAACATCTGTCTGAAATGCATCTGGCAGATCTCTGGTTTGAAAGCACTCTCTGTGGATCAGCTTCAGGTTTTTCTAGCTTCTCAATCCTCATGCCCTGGAGTCAAAGAAAGAACCCGGTGGGGAATCAATGCTGGGCGAGGAGGCAGATAGAACTGATCCTTTATCTTATTCCACGTGCCAGCAAATGCTGTGCGTGGTTCCAAGTCTTCTCTGAGCCCAGGTTAAAGCCCAGAAAAGTAGGCCATCACACTTGTTGCTCTAGGCATTTTTCCAAACGAAAATGAAAATAATTCTTAACCTTGGACTAAGATTTTTTTTTCAGTATTTAATGAGCATTTCTATAGGGACCAAATATTGCTCAACTGATAAATATTTCTACAGAACTACTTGCCTGGTTTTGAATTACACCTTAATGCAGATGCAGAATAGCAGCGATAGCTAGCCACAGTGAAGGCTGAAGAGCGAAGCCCTGGCTTTACTCAATTTTTCTGTTCATCTTTGGGAAATAAAGCAACATTAATGTTAATGGTGACTTTTGATGACCTAAGGCATTTATTAAAAACATAGGGGGCTGGGGTAGTGGCTTGGTGGTAGAGTGCTCACCTAGCATGCATGAAGAGCTGGGTTCAATCCTCAGCACTACATAAAAATAAATAAAATAAAGGCATTGTGTCCATCTACAACTAAAAAAAAAAAGATTAAAAAATATATTACTATATATTATCAACCTTAAAGTTGATAATGAGAGAGATGTTTTTAGCACGTGTGTTTGGAGAAGGTTATAGTAATTTCTGAAAGCAGATGTTTTTGGAGGGAAATCTTTGAAGAGATAGGTAAATAGAGGTAGGTGTGGGGGAAATGAATGGATTAGAACTCACTTCTCCTACCATGCAGAATTCAGTTCTCTGAGGAACACAATTCTCTAAGAGAAGATCAAACTTCTGACACAGTATTATATTGAGGGTCTCAAATTCATTTGTCTTTCCACAGTTCTTGGAATTATAACTCCCACAAAATGAATACATAATGAAGTGGCTAATCACTTGCTAACATATTTTTGGCAAGGGAGGTGTCAATATCATGCTCCTCTTTGAAAATACTGCCTTCCGGAGAAGTAAACACTTTGTGCAGGGTCTTGCATGTAGTCAGTGGCTAAACAGTCTGGTGGTGTCGAAATTTCAAGTGAGATGCACAACATAAAAAGCAGACAAGCTAACTGAGTCTTCCTTATTCATTCAACACACATTTCTCTAGCTCAGGTTTCAGGCTAGGTACTGACAAGGGACACCATGAAAAGAAGAGCCTGTCCCCTGCTGGGTCTTGGTTTAGTAGGAGAAACAGACAAGTCAACACAGAGCAGAGAGCTCTGTTAGAGTCACAAACAGCACTTTTCATCCCTGTGTGATCTGGGAGACACCCTGGAGGAAGTGACATCTGCAGGGTTGGGTAAAGAGATAGAGATGGACGTTCCAGAAAAGAGAAGCATCCAAGCAAGCAGGGGGACCAGAGTGATTAGGAAACCAGAAGTAGATAGCATGGCTACCTATGAGTGTGTGTGTGTGTGTTGGAAGATGTCCAAGAGGTGAAGTAGGAGTGGGGAGGTATTTAGCCAACAAGCTCATGAGAGATCTTCTCATGAGAGAGGTACCCCATATAGGGTATCTTCCTATACGGATACAGAGAAATCTACTTCATTCTTTTGTACAGCCTCATAGTAAAACATTATATTTAACTAGACCCCTATTAATGAACTTTCAAGTTGTTTCCTGTCTCTAGGCATGACAAACAAATTCATATTGTAATGAATAACCTTGTACCTACCTTGGTTATGTGAGCGGATTTGTTTGTATTATAAATTCTCTGAAGTGGATTTGTAGATGCGTGCATAGATTTGACAGAGATTGTTGCCAGAGGCTTACATTTCTTTGGCTTTACATAATTAGGCATATCACATAAATCTATAGAGCTTTTTACCTGTGGACTGGTGTCAAGGTCAGTCAGAATGAGCCCTGGTTGGGGAACCTTTAGCACGATGTGATTTTAAAAGTACTGATATTCCACTACTCACTGTAGAGCAGTTTTAGTGGGAGCCAGCAGGGGAACAGAAACAGTAATAAATAATGAAATCATCATAAGTTGAAAATTTTTTAACATGGCTAATGTATTGAATATTACATGAAAAGCTCAGCCTGGCCTACCTTAAACATGCTCAGAACACTGAGATTAGCTACTGTTGGGCAAAATCAACTAACACAAAGCCTATTTTATAATCAAGTGTTGAATATTTCATGTATGCACACATGGATGGGCGTTTTGTATACATGATGAAATCTAAACACACAAAACACAATATCAAAACGGCTGGCAACACAACACATGGTACAGTACCGACTGCTCCCCATTCCCCTCCTTGCCCTGGTGTGGCTGACTAGGAGTACCCCTTGCCTCTGTGAGTATCACACCACAAATTATAGCCTAGGAAAAGATCACAACTCAAAGCATGTTTTCTAGAACACGTTTTCTAGAAAGCATGTTTTCTACTGAATATACTGTAAACTGGAAACATTGTAAGTCAAACCATCATAAATCCAGCAACATCTGTAATAGAAAATTCCTAAACTTTCCTAAGTCTTGTAGCTCCCCAGCGGCCAATTGGATGATAGCCCAAGCTGCCCCTTTCCAGCACAGCCAGCCTTTGATCTCCGGTCCCATGCCTCTTGTCTCCTAATTCTGTTCATCAAAAGGTCCTAGGGACTAACTATATATTTAACACAGTGCTGGGAGTAGAGAAAGATGTTTGTTCTCAAAGAACTTCTGATCCCATTGGAGATACTGGCCTCAAAACAAACACAGCAATGCATTAGTTCCATGGCCCAAAGTAAAATCAGGGTCATCCAGGACAAAGAAAACTCACATTTCTTAACGTTATTTCGACAAAACCCAGTTATTATAAAACTGGAAAAAAGATCAGATATAAGAGAAAAAATAGTTGAGTATGGTTCCTCCTGGCACTGCAGGGCAGAGGGGTGGGAGGAAAGGGAAGACCAGATGGGGCCCTTGATCTGCTGCAGCACTGAAATAAAAGTAGCTGTCACTGTCCCCTTCAAATAACCTGGCTTTGTCCAACACAACCATCAGTTCACAGATAGTATTTTTCCCTCAGGAGAAGAAATAGGCAAACTGATTTGAGAAGATTTAGGACTATTTTCTTCAGTTAAAAATGAGGACAGGGTGTGCGATTTGTTTGCTACGAGGTCTACGCAGAAACTGCCACTCCATTAGCTACTTTAGTTCTTGTTGATTATGTGCTTTTTAATTAGTCAGTAGTTAGGTTATGAAATGATTATCTGCTAATGGGAAAGATTTTCCTTGCATTTATTGCACAGAAGCAACAAGTTTGTTTATTTTAACCTCTTTTAATTTCTCTATTGAGCAAGCAGCATTTCAACAAGAGTAAATAAAATGTTTTATGAGATACCTGCTCAAACGAGCACACTGGCTGTCATTTTTCAATGTTTTCCAGTAATGTCCATTCATATATATTTTTACCTAATAACAATCATACTATCGATCCAGTTTTGTGATCTGATTTTTTTCCTTTAGATTATTACATTATGAGCATTTTCCATGTTTCTCTGACTTCCAGATTATAACGGCCACCTAATGACCCACAGGTCTGATGCTCCACTATCTGTGGTAGTCATTTCCCTGTTCTTGGCCAGAGAACCCTATTGTGTACCTCATCTGGTTAGATGGCATTGCCAGAGATGGAAAATGTCTTTGAGAAATGCCCTTTTGAAAATAAAGTAATAACTAAAAAATAAATATTAAAAATTCTCTCTCTCTCTCTCTCTCTCTCTCTCTCTCTCTCTCTCTCCTCTCTC